AGAGTAAGATAAAACATAAAATAACTATCATATAGTAGGTGAATATGTGTGTAGATGTGAGGGAAAGAAAACCAAAAGAAGGAAAGAAAAAATATATTTTGAACCATTTTACTATTTGATGACAACTATTAACCCTTAAGTAAGACCAAGTTTCATTTATTTTCCTTTGAAGAAAATTATTTTCACATTATTTGCATCAGTGGCTCAGCTCCTCTTGGTGTGTTTGTGAATGAATGCCTATGAATGAAGATTGTGAGGAGGATTATCTGCAGGTCAAAAGCAGGCAGGACCAAAACACAACTTGTGTGTGTGGGTGTGTTTGTCTGACATGCGGCAGTCAGAGCAGAACGGACATGGGGATTAAAGACAGGAAACAGACTGCTGTTGAAACCCTTTCCAGATCTGTACACAAACAACAACGCTCTTATGTGCCTTTCCCCTCCAGTACATTTCATTTGTGAATCTGGATGCAAAAACTGTGAGTTTTGTTGTCACTAACATGCACACACACACACACACACACACACACACACACACACACACACACACACACACACAGAACCTGCACTGCACTCCCTCTACAATCTTAAGTGACAGAGGTGCGACTTGACACACATGTTGACGTCATCAATCTGTCATGTTTTTGTTTGAGAAAGTGTGACAGAGCCAGAAACTGTGGTTACTAAGGCAACGAGCGGGGCAAATGTGAGTGGTGACGATAGGTACAGACACACAAATACACACAGGCGTACACACATACAGTGCTCTCAAAGCGCACATGCATTTATACAGAAAGACAAACCATGTTGACCTGTGCCTCATATGATGTTATTTTTCTGTTCATTTTCCCAGAAAACAACATGAAGGGCAGCTGACCAGTGATGGAGGGTACAAGGGGAGGAGGGGGGAGGAAAGGAAGACAGGAGATGAATGGGGGAGGAACGAGAGGAAGTGGAGTGTCCTTGTTAATGTGACACAGTCACATTTAAGTGATTGAATTTCCTCTGTGTGAGTGTGTGTTTGTGTATTAGTGTATAGCCATGAGTCAATTGCCCAGTTGCTTGTCAGCCAACATGACTGGAGTTACACAACTGAAACGTTTCCCTTCTCGCCCCCCCTTGTGCCTGCTGGAGGCTCAAAATGAAACTCAGGGCTCAGGGTGTTCTCACAATCTGCTACAGTACACTGCGACGGAATCACATTATGTACTGTGTGTTGTAACATTTGACAAGCTCTCTCTTCCTGCTTGCTTCCTGCTCTCACGCTGTACTCTGCTGTACACTGCAGCAGAAAAGTCAAGGTGAAATGTAAGATGTAGATTGTTACCATGCTTTCACATGTGGAGCCTGAACCAAACAACCATTTACATGTTTAATATACCTGAATTTGCTCAGTGGGTTGAATGGCTTATCTCATTAAAATTATTTGTAATTTACTTTTTTCCCCCAATTGACATCTGTCTGTAGCTTACATTAACTTCCCTGACATATTTGGAAACAGTTTTACATTGATCTTTTGTCAGTTTTAAAAGAAACTTTGTCAAACTTGTCTCGATTTTTTGTGATATTTAAGAAATTCTATAAGAATTGGGGATCTGCACATTTGAAACATTAGTATGCAAGCAGATCAGCTGGCCGCAAAGGAATTTCTTGTCATCCAACTGCTGAATCCAGTTGAATCCAGTAGAACGCTACTGGTTGGGAAACATTTGAGCCTGAATCCATTGAAATTAGTTAATTCCAGTAGAAACCAGTAGACCTGCAATGAAATGTCTCTCATGGATTTCTTTATGAAATTACAGGATATACATTTCCTGAAAAGCAAACACATTGTTGTGTAATGTTGCAGAAGATGGAAGCGAGAGCTACAGTCATGACCCTGATACATTTACACTTTTACCTTTTAACGATGTGAATGTGGAAGAAAAATAAAAACACAAATCAACTGAGATGATGATGATCATTTTTTGTTTCAGCACTTACCCACAGGATGGTTTGGATGTGCCCACATTATTCTGTGTTTAAACTAGAGTTATATCAGAGCAGCAAACAAGGCACTCTTCAGAAACTTCAGGCTCTGTTATACAGTATATGGGTACTGGGTGTATGGCTCCTTATTTATCTTAAAGTATAAAGTAAAAATACTCCTGCACACACAGAAATACACTATATAATTACTTTTCAACATTTCATGTGAAACATGTTTGGTACTCTTGTATGTTTTGGAGTATTTTCACTTTTCAACTTATCCTAGACTGATGTTCTTAAGGAAGAGTTCAGTTTTAATGTTTCATGTTTTATCTGTGGTATACGATTAGCTTTTCAGTAAGTAGTAAAAGGCAGGGAGTGCTAATATATATAGAATTTATTACAAGTAAACCATAAACCATATCTTTTTTAAATGGATCTATGATACAAATATGGACAATATTTAAAGGTCCAGGTAAACAGAAGGAGAGAACGCCTTTTCACATCAGTCCACCCCATCAGCACAATGAGGACTCCAGGTCTCTGCAGCTCTCTGGCACCAGGTGGGACATCTGATCCACAGTGTGACTCTGGGAGGAAAATGTGTAATAAATTCTTCAGGTGATAAAAAATATAAAGTAAATACAGAGTCTTTAGTCAATAGAATAATGTGTTAAGTTAATTTTCTAATGTAATTTAATTCAAAAAGTGAATCTTTGATATATTCTAGATTCATTACACAAAGCGAAGCATTTCAAACCCTTTTTGCTTTCATCTTGATGATTACGGTTTACAGCTCATGGAAATAAAAACCCCACTATCTCAAAATGTAAAAACATTTTAGAATAGCCTAAATACATTTCCGTATTATAAAATATACAGAAATAACTGGAGAAGAGCTCTCTAATCAGCTAATTAACTCAAAACACCTGCAAAGGTTTCTGAAGCCTTTACTCTCTCAGTCTGGTTCTGGTGCTCACACTGAACTTTTCCACAGTATTCAAATTTTTTGAGATGGTCCTCTAAAAGATGCCTCAGTGTTTTAATGTTGAGAGCACTATTATGTCACATAAGTGGGAGAAAATGGAACAAGGGAGACTCTTTAAATGTTTTTGTGTTGTCCTTTTAAGATTTTATATCAGCTGTCAAATGTCCAGTAGCCAAGTCCAGCAACGTTATTTTAGACTCAAAGTTTAAGCTTTGAGTAGCAGATGTGGAGGCATCAGAACCTCAACAAGAATCTTGTGACAAATATAAAAAGTACCTTTCTCTCTCAAGTGTCCTATTCCAGACAATAATCCCACAAACCCCTTCCGACAGCAGCAACGTTACTCAAAATAGCGGTGTGGGAATTAATTAACGTGATAGCAGCCATGGCTAACGTTTTACAAGATATACAGCTTCCATCATGTAACTGAGGACTCTACTGCTAGCTTATTACTATAATTATTATTACTTAGTTTATTACCACATTTATATACACTGCTCAAAAGAATAAAGGGAACACTTAAACAACACAATGTAACTCCAAGTCAGTCACACTCCTGTGAAATCAAACTGTCCACTTAGGAAGCAACACTGATTGACAATCAATTTCACATGCTGTGGAAATGGAATAGACAACAGGTAGAAATTATAGGCAATTAGCAAGACATCCCCAATAAAGGAGTGGTTCTGCAGGTGGTGACCACAGACCACTTCTTAGTTCCTATGCTTCCTGGCTGATGTTTTGGTCACTTTTGAATGCTGGAAGTGCTCTCACTCTAGTGGTAGCATGAGACGGAGTCTACAACCCACACAAGTGGTTCAGGTAGTGCAACTCATCCAGGATGGCATATCAATGCGAGCTGTGGCAAGAAGGTTTGCTGTGTCTGTCAGTGTAGTGTCATGGAGGCGCTACCAGGAGACAGGCCAGTACATCAGGAGACGTGGAGGAGGCCGTGGGAGGGCAACAACCCAGCAGCAGTACCACTACCTCCGCCTTTGTGCAAGGAGGAGCAGGAGGAACACTGCAAGAGCCCTGCAAAATGACCTCCAGCAGGCCACAAATGTGCATGTGTCTGCTCAAACGGTCAGAAATAGACTCCATGAGGGTGGTATGAGGGCGCAACGTCCACAGGTGGGGGTTGTGCTTACAGCCCAACACCGTGCAGGACGTTTGGCATTTGCCAGAGAACACCAAGATTGGCAAATTCGCCACTGGCGCCCTGTGCTCTTCACAGATGAAAGCAGGTTCACACTGAGCACATGTGGCAGACATGACAGAGTCTGGAGACGCTGTGGAGAACGTTCTGCTGCCTGCAACATCCTCCAGCATGACTGGTTTGGCGGTGGGTCAGTAATGGTGTGGGGTGGCATTTCTTTGGGGGGCCGCACAGCCCTCCATGTGCTCGCCAGAGGTAGCCTGACTGCCATTAGGTACCGAGATGAGATCCTCAGACCCCTTGTGAGACCATATGCTGGCGCGGTTGGCCCTGGGTTCCTCCTAATGCAAGACAATGCTAGACCTCATGTGGCTGGAGTGTGTCAGCAGTTCCTGCAAGAGGAAGGCATTGATGCTATGGACTGGCCCACCCGTTCCCTGGACCTGAATTCAATTGAGCACATCTGGGACATCATGTCTCGCTCCATCCACCAAGGCCACGTTGCACCACAGACTGTCCAGGAGCTGGCGGATGCTTTAGTCCAGGTCTGGGAGGAGATCCCTCAGGAGACCATCCGCCACCTCATCAGGAGCATGCCCAGGCATTGTAGGGAGGTCATGCAGGCACGTGGAGGCCACACACACTACTGAGCCTCATTTTGACTTGTTTTAAGGACATTACATCAAAGTTGGATCGGCCTATAGTGTGGTTTTCCACTTTGATTTTGAGTGCGACTCCAAATCCAGACCTCCATGGGTTGATAAATTTGATTTCCATTGATAATTTTTGTGTGATTTTGTTGTCAGCACATTCAACTATGTAAAGAAAGGAGTATTTAATGAGATTATTTCATTAATTCAGATCTAGGATGTGTTATTTTAGTGTTCCCTTTATTTTTTTGAGCAGTGTATTAAAAAGCATTTAAAACCTTGTGAAGTATAATGTCAATAACAGATATGTGAGTTATTTTAATATTTTCCGGTGTCTTACCTTGACTGTAGCTGGTAATGTCGGTAAATTGGTCGAGCTAGGTGGGAGTGGTTTCAGCAACACGTCACCTCAGCTCCTCTTTGCCCATTTTTTGTTATCCAGGAAAGACGTGCGGTGACGCACTGCCAAGATGGCACTGGCCAGCTCCGCCAATTTTGAGCTTCAAAACGGCTCTTCAGAAACCAATGGGTGACGTCACAGACGCTACGTCCATTTTTATATACACAGTCTATGGTTTTTCCCTGTGTGTCTTTCTGTCTGCAGGTGGGCGTGGTCTTCCTGGCTCCTGCGCTGTGCTCTCACACACCTGCACCTCGTTCGCAATCAGCCACCAGTTATCTACCCCGGTCCAGCACGCCAGCATTCGCCAGATCGTGCGTATCTCCCGTGGTACACACCTTGGCCAGCTCTAGTTGTGAGTTAGTTTCTTGTGAATATTCCCTCGCAACTCCTAACTCTTGTTTGCTCTCCTCCACTTTCTCAGAACCTACCTGCCAGTCTCCTGCCTGCCCACCAGTTTCGCCTACACCACCTCAACTCACCGTCTTGCCTGGATTCTCCGCTATGGACTCGGATCACTCTCCGCCCCAACTGATGCTTGTCTATCTTAATAAACTCCCTTTACTAGTAAATCAGTTCTTGGCTCTGTCATGCTTTTGGGTCCAGTCTTCTCCCATACACACCCATAACACCCACACACCTGAGAGCTTCATTTTGTTTTCTCTCAGACGTGAACTGGAGCGTTATGTTCAGGTCAGGCGCGCAAACCCCCCCCCCTCAATATTCAAATCTCAAATTTGAAAATTGAATGTGTACCACAAGATTGAATATTCGAATATTCGGGTCGAGCCCCAGTGTAGCTGTTTTAAACATTTTGAATTGCTGTGAAAGAGCATTTTGTACATGTCGTGTTAACTGTTCCTTAAATCATAAAGGTCAAATTGCTGTCTTCTGTCACAGGTTACAGCAACGTCACATTGTCTGAAAATCACATTCCCAGTCTGTTCTAATCTAATCGTACCCTTTCCTCTTTCTGCCATAGTAACTTCCAACCGGACCACTAAATATCATTGTAATTCAGATGTGAGGGTCAAGTCACATTTACCGGACCTCTCAGCTAATCTCATAGTGTTGTGGCTGATATGACATGATATTTTGCTCTTTTAAAGCACTCTGCATTATGCACATTGACTTTGCCATGGAAACCCATTGTGTCTTTATGCTGCAAGCAATACTGCCCATGCCCTTTGCTTTAACATGCTGTATATAAATAGCCAACCCCTGGTAAAGTGCAGCTTTTGGCTGGACAATATTAATGGGAGAGCTGGGCTGTTAGATACAGGAACTTACATAATGTTGAGGGCGGCCTCAATTCTGGGAACCAAAGATATTTTAAGTGATTTTATTTTAATATCAATATCAAAAATGTCCCACTAACCAGCTACTATTCTAGCTGCAGGGGAAATGCCTCCTACTTCAAAATGTTTCCCATGAGTTATGCCTTAAGCCTGTCATGCAGTCGCTTCAGTATTGTGCTAAGCTAGCACTGAAACTTGTGGTTGCCAGGAAACACTAGATAATATTTTGGGCCACGTGTCTCCTTTGTAGTCTTCTGCTGAGAATATATCCCATCTTATACTAAAAGTAAATAATATGGTAGTATGGGTGTTGGAACACACTGCTTGTTATCACAATCAGGAAGACACAGGAAGATATTAACTTGTTGTTATTTCAAAAAATCCTTGAGCAAACCCTCATGAGAGGGTTAAAACACTAGAAAGTTCACTGGAACTCAAAGTCCAACTACTCATTCCACCACTAGCAGCCAAACACCATGTTCATTCATCAGTTTATAAGAAAATGTGTTTGTTTTTTTGTCGGGACAGAGAATTTAGCTGTAACTCCAAATGTTGCAACTACTGTTATCTTCTCCAGTTGTGCAAAGACAAACATCTCCTCCTGCACTCCCACTGGGACGTGTTCTGAAGAAAGCATGGAGGACACAATCATGTAGCAATGAATTAATACAACACTCTCACGTGAGACGGCTGACTAGAATTGTGGAGAAGGGTTTTTTCTGAATTGCATAAATAAATCATAGTATTGTAAATGTGCTATTTCAAACAGATTTACTCTTCAAATAGGACAATTTAAATCATTATGGCTTGATGCTTTGGAAGTAGTTGTTCGTGTTTTTAGGTAGTAATCGGCTTCCCCTTCCCTTTCTTTGCAACTTAGCAGTGTGTGTCCACTTATACTGGTATCATTACAGCCTGCTCATATAATTATCCATTCCACATGAGTTGGCCAAGGTTACAGTAAACTTAAGACAATGCATGACTATCACCCACGTCTAAACTATACATCTGAATTCTATGACATAACATTATAAATTAAATAATGTGTGAATGTATGCACCCCAAAATATTTTGCTTGGTTACTATGTTGCTTGTTCACTTGGCTGAACGAACAGCTAAGTTCACTGTGTGTAAATTATGGTCAGGAGTGAAAGGGGCCTGACCTCTTAATTCAAACTGTGTGAGCACAGCTAAAGCTGCAGAAGAAACAGGTCTGCTATTGTTGTCTCTATATCTGAGTGTGTTAGGACACCAGCTTTCCTAACAGCTGAGGATCAACATACTGAGCACTATTACACCAAGAAAACGGCACAGATTTAGGGTAAGAATGCAGTGTGTCTGGATAGCGCCCTGGTCCGCTATCTCACTGTGTGCATGTGTGTGCATGGTAGGATCTGACCAGCATTCATAATATGTTATGAATGCAATATATATATTCACCCAACAGGTAAAATTACAGTGACACATCTACAAACAGGAGTTATTTTGATATTTAAACAGTGTAGTGGAAAGGTAGGGTACATACTAACCTTTAAACATGCACACTGTGACCCTAACCCCAAACTAAATTCAGTGAAGTTTTAATTTTCAGTGCCTCAGTTTTACAGTTTTATCAAATTCATGGATGTCATGGAGGTCATGGATGCTGGCATCCACGAAACCTAGCTGAGCCCCACTAAGCTAACATACCACCCACAGTATAAAGTTTCTTGTCAACAATTCCCATGAAAAGACCAAAACCCACAACATGTTAGTACGTCTCTCAATACTTTATGACTTCGTAACCTGTCTTTGGCTCTATGCCCAAAGTCCATTTGCTCCTACAGGAGACCTAAATCTTTAAAAATGTGTCATGAAATTTTTGTTTCATTGTTTTTTGTTTTTTTTTTAAAAAGGCTGAATGATTTCCTAAAACAGCTGGGCACTGTAGTTTTTAGCAAACGTTACAGTAAACAGGGCACAAGTTGGGGACTATTTTCAGAGGCGGATTAATACACAGTTGGTGGGCTGATTGAGTATTTACAACAGGTCACCCAGTGCAACAGTGTAGCTCACTAGTGTATTTTAATGGAGCTCTATGCCACAGAGGAATAATATGTAACCCTTTTGATACACAGAGTGGCCCCTGGTGTACCCCGCCTCTCACCTCAGCTGGGATTAGCTCCAGCCCCCCTGTGACCCTGCATGGATAAGAATAGATGATGATATGACATAGATAACGGATGGATGAACTTTGGATACACAGACATTTCTGTTTGTTTGGGTCTTTTCATTGGATTTGTTAAGAGTAAGAAAAAGTGGAGCATTGCCCAAGCAGACGTCACCGGAGACAGAGCCGTCAGCCCAGGCAGCTAAAAACAGGTCAAGTGTTGTTCCGTGATGTTGAAATTAATGGACGCAGTCCCAAAGAGAGGAGAGGGGGAGAGATGGAGAGGAGGGATACGAGAGACAGAAGAGGAGGACGAGTGGTTGAAAGTGTTTAAAAGACAGAGTGAGAGTATGTCAATGAGACAGGCACGGGGGAGTTTGGAGAGGGACGGTACACCCACTCATCTGACTCCCTGTTTCCTCTCCATCTCTTACATTACAATTGCAACAACATGGAACAACACTTGATTTTCATTTTGACATTATAATGAGAGTCACAAGAGGGTGACAGCAAGTCCTGAAATAGTTTTCTTGCGTAGTAAGCTGTTGAGTTATTTCAGTGTCAAGCATCTGGGTCAAGATAATGTCCATGCAAATGCATTTAAGAGGACTAAAAGCAGCAGTTGCATTTGTTTTACTTAACCTCAATGATTTCTGTGGGTTTATTTTTATAGTAATGTATTCAAGGACATTCAAGATTTTCATTTACATTGGAAATATTAAATATAAATAGTAACTTAAACAGGAAAAAATTATTAATTATTTCTAAGGCTGTTTTTAAGTGTTTTTCTATGAGACATACAGGGGGAGTCTGGTTTTAATCACATTTTACCCAGATTATATACCCACACATCCATGTTTCTAGCGGTGAGAGGACATCTTAAGTAAACAAAGTCCTATTTTGAAGAGCTCAGCATTGGTTTAACAGAAAATTAAGGAAAAATTAGGGGAAACATAAATGAGCCAAGCATCTCTGCCTTATTACAGCCTGACAGACATCAGATATCCACACAGTTTCTAAAAAAAAAAAAAAAAGATACATTTTATAAAATATTTCAAATATAAATGTGGTTGTCTGACTGTGAATCAATGTTGTGATCATAATAGTTCAATGTCAAATTCATGAAATCTCATTCATTCTAACATGAAGGCATTATCTCTCTCATGTCAGTGCCGACTGAGGACATGACAGATTGTAAACTATGCCCGCACATCCATCAACTTCCTCTATAAGTCACAGGAAGTTCATTAATATTCTATGAAGCTGAGTGACCTGAAACTCAACTGTACACTGTAACAGTATAACCGGCAACTAGCCGAGCACTTCTCAACTTCTATCAAGGACTCTTCCTCAGAAGATATAGGACCATTTGCTGCAAGAGATGATTAGGTGAATTTAAACAGCAGCGCGGAGTTCAGCACAACAGGGAAGATAAATGAGACAATTAAACAGTGCTTGATGGCACCTCAGTGACTAATGGCTTTTCCTTCCTGCTTGTCTGAGCACAGACAAACACAGTAGTAAGCAGCAAGGAGTGTGTGTGCTGCCTTGACGGACACATGCTTGTGTGCTTGTGTGAGCATGTGTGTGGGCTGGAGGTTTGTTGCAGGAATTGCCAATAGACAAACACTTGTCGACATCAAAACAACGAGACTGAGATGACCCGGTGATAGGAGGGACACACACAAGTTGCACAGTTCTGTGAAAGATCTCAGCAGTAACAACAGTAATTGTTCATTATACACTTTCTTTACATTTTATTGCTATGCTGAATGTGTTTGTTTTACAGCTATCTGTTCATTTTGGGCACACATCTCATTCTAAAACTAGGGAATGCGTAAGAAGGGCTACATTGACTGTTCACTAAACCCATTCCCCGTGTTTTTCTACTATAACCTAAGCTGCAAACGTTAGCATTTCTGGTTATAGTTTATGACCTACTGGAAATGCTAACGCATGTTAATTTCAAGGCGCATATTATAATAAACTAACCATATTATTTGTGAGGCTACCGGCTGCATTGGAAAAAGTCACATTCAGTACCAGCACTTCCACTGTGTAGTATTTCCCCACTGTGTGTGAACCAGTCCTTGATAGTACAATATCAGAGGCTAACGTTAGCTGCTCTGTTCTGCACTTACTTTAAGTTCCACTCCAACAACAACCCCAGCCAAACCAAGAAAGCGTTATATATGCAGAAAACACGTTTCGTTATCTTCAAAGCCTTTTCTAGTTAGACATTCTGTTTAAAATATGATGAAATATAAAGCATGAACCTAATCTTCTTTAAAGTGAGCTAAGCACTCAAACAGGGATTATATTAGAATGATTATCACACTGTCATGTAATACTTGGACTAACTAGCTCTACTCTGCAATACAAGAACCTTTCATGTCATTCTACATGTATCAGCAACTGCTGAGGATTTTTGACGTTTTGCATGAGACATGCTGATTTACTGTAGCCTCAGCCTGATACCATGCCAAGCAATTGCACATTTCAGACCCTTTTACAAGCAACCAGTTGAGTTAATGTTAACTAGCTAGCTACAGCTGATAAAATGTTCTTGCAACATTTGCCATTACCACCAACAAAATCGACAGTTACCAGCTAGAAATGCTTTTATTAACCTCTGTCTGAAATCATGGACCCCATCATTTCAGAAATGACAAATAATTTAGAGTGGTAGAGCTGTAAAAACAAAAAAAGTGCCTGATGCATGTAACACACATTGTTTACAGTCACTATTTGTGTGTCCCAGCATGTGTGTATGTGGCAGGGGCAGGGTTTTTCCTGCCTTTACTTCCTGTTGTATACTGCATTAAATGATGACAGTCCACTGGGAGTGGACAGATAGGACACAGTCATGTGGTAATTAGCTCTGCTCATTAAAACTGACCTCAGGCTTTGTTCTGCCATCTGGATACACTGTCCTACCTCCTGTTAGACATGTGTGTGTTTGCGTGAGTGAGTGAGTGACTAATATGATTTCCTTTTTCACACAATTCTGTACTGTCCATTTCTAATTTTCTTTTCTAACTATTGACCTGTCTATAAAACATCATCCCGCCCTTGTTAAACAAGCCTATAAAGGTTGGTTGCATTACTGAACTTTAATTTGTCTCAACGTTTTTAATTTAAACCTTTCACATCTTAGTTTTAATTGTATGAATCAGCTTCATTGTGTAATCTACATGTGGCACCTGTGCTCATCGCATTCTTGACGTTAGAGTCACAAGAGAAAATTCACGAGGCCATTGTTTGTGGGTATATGGTCAGCTGACTTTTTAAATTGGGTTTTAAAATGTGAAATAGTGCACCACTAAGAGGCACACAGACAGTTGGTTTATCCTGGAACGTAACAAGTATGCTTAACACTTGAAATGCTGATCTATTCATCTGGTGACCTAAAGGTCTCAGGTTCAATCCCTGCAACTGGCAACGTGTACTAACCAAATACATTTATTTTCTGTCAAATGTGCAGTAACAGAACATCAGTAGGACCATATTCTCCATGTCTTAGACATTAATGTGCACAAAAATTGAAGTGCAAAAATGTTACTGCAGTTTTACAGAAAGTTTTTTTTTTGTGGATTAAAAAAATAGATATAACATGTTAACTAGTGAGAATAAAAAGTTCTGTTAGGCAGACTGAAAGATCTCAAAATGTTGAACTATCCCTTTAAAGTCTCCGCAATACCATGATAATAATATTCAGCTGACAAAATATTCACCTATTCATTACCAATATCAAGAAAGTTTAAATTTTCTGCGAGTGCATTTTCCACCATACAGATATGAATTTAATCCAGCAGGTGCCAGCAAGCTGAATCTACAAACTTACAGTATGCTTTGGAAAATAACACGGATTCATGTACATGTGATTTGTAGCTAAAACAGGGAAACCATGACTATGGTACTTCAACTGTTTAGTCTGCCAGTGTCCTCTCAGTGTTTTAAACTAGATCACAGGGCTAAAACAGAGTAAAGAGAGCAATTAAATAGAAAAAAAGCTAAAATAAATAAAAGATAAGAGGATTCCCAGCAAGTTGCTTTCTCCTGTTGTGAATTGTTGTGAGTAGGAGCAGCAGCTAATGGACAAGTGCAGGGAGAGCAGTGAGTCATACCACTTTGCTCACAAGTACCCCATTTTCTACCAGATCCCGTGTGATGTATGTCTGCAAGTGTGTGTGTGTGTGTGAGAGAGAGAAACAGAGACAATGAGAAGAAATATGCATGTCTGCAGAGAAATTCAGCATAAATAGGAGGGAGTATAGTTGTGTGTGTGTGAGAGAGACACAGTAGGTTTGTTGAGAAGCTCTCTGCAGGACAAAAGCATCTTTCTGAGACACATGCCTTTAGCTGATTATGCAGACTGCAGACAGCATTTACAGCACAGTTCTCATTTCGTACATGCTACACACTCCAGGCTTCATCCACACTGTAGCTGCTCCAGTTCAGATTAAACATATTCTTGGTGCCTGGAAAATGTTAAAGACTACTGTATATAAGATACAGCATTAATGTTGCTGCACATTAATCTAATTTTATTATACTTTAAGGGGGTTTTACAGGAGAATAGTAATTTGGTCCAACCTTTTTGCCAAATGACTACTTAAAGTGAATCTACTTGACATGCTAGGTTATGCATATTTGCTGTGAACAGTTCCACCAAGGAGGGATTTTTCTTTCTTATATAGTGTCATTTGAAGGACTTTATAGGCCTGAAGAGGTTGAAGTGTCCCGTAGTTCAAAAGAATTTAGCAGAAATTAAAGAAAATTATGAAAAAGATTACTGAAAATATAGCATACAGGCTCACAAAATAACAATGTAGCGTGATAGTCGAGATGAAGCCAGACACAGTCTTATCTGTCAGATCATAAGACATTAAAAGCCAACACTTAATTAACAATGAAAGACAATTGCAACCATAAACATTTTATAATATAATACATAGCGACACTTGAATATTTACAAATAAGAAGTTACGACAAATTTTTATCAATGTAACAGACACAGAATGAGCCTAGTTTGGTTTTTGATTCAGGTGTTACGGTTATTTAAAATGTAGGCGTGTGCTCTGAAACGCCTTCAGGCTTCATTTACATGAGATTCAGATTGTGTGCGCATCACTGCCAACTGCTTTCAAAAATAACCACGTTAGTGTGTGTGTGTGTGTGTGTGTGTGTGTGTGTCTTGCATACTAAAAGGAAGTAAGACAGTGTCGGTATGACGAACTGTTGCTAAGCAGTGGTGGTTGCTAGGTATTGGAAGGGGGAGGGTAGACAGGTTTGCAGTTAGTGATGGTATCTGAGGGCTTACCTCTCTCTGTGTGTGTGTGTGTGTGTGTGTGTGTGTGTGTGTGTGTGTGTGTGTGTGTGTGTGTTCCCTTGGATTCATTTGGTTTAAATATTGATACTGCAGTGTGGGAAAATAAAATGCAATTTCTACCTATATCAAAGCTGCAGTTTTGGAGGTATTTTCAATATCTGTTCACAACGGAGGAACAAAGGAAGCAATGTCTGATGTATAAAACAGGCTCGGTGATCCAGACAGTTTCATGGTGAATCTTTTTAAACTGCAGATAGATGACTCATTAAAAAACTGTCAAAAAATGTCTGTCTAGTCTAGTGTCAAATTCAACAATGGAAGAATAATTATGAGTAATTTATTTTGCCTTCCGTTGCAGATTCATCAAGCAAAGCTACAGAATATCTGGCTGAGGAACACAGAATGAAACCATCACACTCCTCGGCTTTCCCCAGGATGATTACTGTATTATACGCAGCAGGGGAAAGCCTCACAGTTTGCTGGCTTCCCTCTGTGTGTGTTCACATATTTTTCTCATTTAATTTTTTGTGCATTCCAGACAGGCCTTTGGGGCCTCTAAATACAGATTTTAGCACTTGTATGTTGTTGTTTTTTCTCCAATTCCGGCACGTACATTACTAAACATACTGTGCATCCCTAGCTGGTGTGGCTCCTGTCACATCTGGTCTGATCTAGTAGGGTGAAGGAGATGGTGGGGGGGTTGGCAGGGCGAGACACAGGCAGCCATTTGTACCCGAGGTCCTGCGATGGAGGGTCCAAACACCAGTCGTAGTGCTTTAACAGGTACATGCATGCTTCCTGGCAGCAAAACACAAGAAAAATGTGAAATCTGAAAGTGTTGCAACTGGGTGTCTTTGCTGTATTGACATAAATGGAAACCTACCCAACAGATGATATTTAGAGTTAAAAGCAGTGGGGGTGTAAGTGGCAATTTTATTTATTTATCTTTTTTACAGCAGTGCAAAAACAAAATGTTAAACTAAAAGGCACTTGGCGGAGCGAGAGCCTCCACCAACGCTGAATAAGTATCCAACTTGTTAAGCTACAGCCTCCATACCAATTTACGCCTGTTTGTATGTTGTTTTCCAGGCTTGAAAATAGCAATGCAACGCAACACCTTCTAGCAGCCAAGTTGAAACGGAACATTAGGTCCACAGGACTCTTGTTGGCGGCAGAAATGACTCAAATCATTAACACTTTCTTTATATCTGTGCTCAACTGAACACCTATCAACGCTCAATAAGAATGTCACTACTCCTTCCATCTGCAGTCTGTTTTGTGTCAATGTTACACTATGCTGCCACAAGACAGGAAAAACCTAAATATTCTCTTCTATTTTATTCTACATACTAAGTGCACTCAGAGATCCACATCTGGTGATATCATAGCCAGCAGTCGCTATTGGCTGTTAGTCAGCCACAGAGCAGACCAATCCACATCCACCACCTCCCTCCACTTTATGAATGAAGAATTACCTGATAGAGGGGGAGGAGCAGGATGAATGAACGGGGAATGAAAAAGGGAGGAAAGAAGTGAGGGAACGGAGGAAGGATGATGAGGATGGGGGTGGCAGGAAGGAGGAAAGGGGAAGGATGAAGCGAGGAGGCGATGAGTCACATCTCTGACCTAGATCCCTGCAGGCTACTTTTTACTCTGGTCACGCCCTTCTGTGTGTGTGTGTGGTATGTGCAAGTGGTCAGTCTGCTGAGAACCAATCAGGCACAATGTAACTAGCCAAATGTTTTGGTATATTAGCCATGACACGGCAGGTTACAGTGAGAGATTAGGTTCGATGTGTGCATCATTAGTGCAAAATGAACCTTAAAGTGAAGGATAGTGTGTGTATTTGTTGTACATTATCACTCAGCAGTGTTAGGTCAGTGCTGCTGAGAACAACTTTACTGAGGGACTGGGAGGACGTCTAAGCTAAAAGAAGGAGTGGGTTGACCCCATTGCTATGGATGATGTCATGTTTCTGAAATAACTTAGTCTACAGTGATTAGTTGACAGGTGACAGACCTGCATCAGTGAATGTGAAATAAAATATTCATAGGAGTGTGAAAAGGAACTATGTAAAATCAGATTAAACTTGATGAAATTAAAAAATTAAAAATGCAATTAAAATCACTTTTATTCAATGTAAGAAAACATTAATTCAAATAAAATACAAAATGAACTTGTATATATTATATTAAAAAAGTTTATTTAATAAAAAATTATTTATATCATATGTAAAAAATATATATTAAATGTAAATTATAATTGTAATAAACCCAATCTTTTCTTTTAGCTGCCCATACAATTCCCCTTGACGGACAGTACAGTGTTAAAACTGTCAACCTGCAAATCAACTCCACCAGATCTTTCTCGCATATCTACAGTATAACCTGTATGATGATTATCCATTGTCCATTTTTAGGAATAGGGATAGCTTGCAGTAACACCCCCATCCATATTGTGTTTTATGCATGTGTTGATGTCTTTGCTCTTTAATCATCTGAGAAGAAAAACATAGTCTGTCCTAGTGACTGTAATCTACTATCATAGGTTAAATAACGTACTGTAAGTGTGTTAGTTAACAGTCTGACTCAACGGATGTGAACTGCTGAGATAAGCCTCTCATTGGCTGACTGATGCAATCTGCTTCCCTTCCTCTGCTCTATCATCAGGTCTTTCTTGCTGTGCTCATTAAGAAACGGCAACGATAAGCATTTGACCTGGCAATGAATGTTGTCATGGAAAGAGGACCTCTTTATTCTACAGAGACAGATCAAAAAAGGAGAAGGCTTGGAGAAAAGTGAGCGAAACCATAGTACGTCATGCTAAGTTCTGAAAATATGTATCTGTTACTTGATTCCAGCTAATGGTTGTAGTTAACTATCAACCAAATTGGCACTAGCAATAGCTGCCTTTCCACAGTACTCCCGAATGTTTGAAGGTTGCAAAATGCTCAAAAAACACTCCAGCGTCCGTATTCACGCAAGTAGTGCAAGGCGAAAATTTTAGGGTAACCCGAACCCTTTTAATGGACCCAAGGAAGCTTTACACTTAATACATAAGAATCAATTAAACATCATGTTTACCTGCTCTAATATAAGCTGCTAACGTTATCATGCCTGGCAAACAAGCTTACTGCAGTAACATAACAAAGCGTTACATCAAAGGCCAAGTAGCATTTTATTAGCTAACTACATTTGTGGGGCTACATGTCCATGACAGCACATCCACTGTATAGTAACGCTTCCCCAAAAATGTTGAATAAAATAAAAATAGAAATTTTGAATTTTTTTTTTTTTACATCAGCTCTGTTGCTCTGATAATTAACACAATGGAAGTAAATTTTCCATTGACCTTTCACTCAGTCCAGTAAATGAAAAATGCAGAGCTGAGGCTTCTAAACTACAAGTATTTCAACATTTCAGCATCTTCTTTGTGTCTGTTTCTGTGGTACAGAACACTAACTGAATGCAACAGAAAGTCAGTGAAAAAGATAACCTTCGGTTTCCTTTGCTTAAAAAGAAGACAATTATACAGACTGAGAAATGGTTCTAATGAGAAAGTGTGTGCACAAATTTTCACTTGAGTGTGTTTATGCATGGCAGTGTTATGAGCAAAGAAATGGAGTCACCTTAAGGAAGACATCGGTAAGTTTAACTCCAATACAGCTTCTGGGCCCGCTGCCGAAGGAACATAGGAAGTGCTCCTGGCCTGCATTCCTGCACATACAAAAACATCAGAGATGCAGAAAATCAATGTTTTGGCAAAATTTCAAGAGTCAGAGGAACACAAAACCTTCAAAAAATTATTTTCTACAAATCAGACATCTTCAATCTGGAACTGTTTAACAAGACTGGATTGGAATTCCTTTCATAATCGGCCCCTCAACAGAATAACAACCACCTTATGCTTCTGTTTTGTGAGTCAAACAAAACTGTCAGAGAAGGCACTGTTATCCATAAGATGATCATCAGATGCCATCATATGATGATCAGATGATGCTGACATGATGGTCTCTCAACCAATAATAATAGTCGAATGGCCAGTGGTCACTGATCATATAAGTAAAACTTGTTATTTACGAATTAATGCAGATGTTATCAAATCTGGAATATAGTGCAATATTGTCTGGGTCTGTTTGCCTGCTCATTTCTTCATTGATTTACTTGCATCTTCTACTGACTTGTAGACTTCTACCAATGTAGTCAATCCAGAAATATCTCAACTGTCAGATGGATTGAACATTTTTATTAAACTTTGAACAGACATTGTTTCCAGAGGATGAACTGTAATAACCTTGGTGATCCCCTGACTTTTCATGTAGCGCCACCATCATGTCAAAATTCCAATTTGTCTGATACTTTAGTTTATTACCAAATGCCAGCAAAGGTAGTGACATTCCAATCAGTCTCAGCTGTACAATGTGTTTACTGATAATTAGCAAATGTTAGCATGATAACACGCTAAATTCAGATGTGGAACATCAGTTTAGAAAGAATGATAAGCTAATCAGCTGGAGTACATACACACAGCTTTCGCTTGAGCTTGTTTTTAACAATTCGCCAAGCTAGTGCTCAACCCAGCAGTGGGGAATGATAGATTATGGAAAATACAAATTAAAATATTTGTGATGTGTTTATTGTGCATGTTTATATCGTTCTTTTTGATCATTTATAAGTATACACTACTTGTATCTTTATATGTTATATACTTGTATTTTGGAACTTTTGTGTTACCTCAAAAAGTATAAATCTCCTGAAATTCATCTACTTAAAATAAAGTGATGCTGGTCGTTTCCACCAGGCAGGTTTGTCAACAGCCTGGTAATGCAGGCCATCTCTCCCTTCTCACCACTAATGCATCCTGTCTTTCTGAAACCTGAGCTCTGATTAAAGGCAAACAGGAACCATTAGTGGTGTGCAAAGTCTGGGTGCAGTGTGTGTGAAAGAGAGTTAGAGGCAGAGAGAGAAGGGAGAATATTAGTGTTCTTTGCAGCATCTCTCTAATGGTTTAATGTACTATTAGGGACATCCTGAAACAGTAAGATGTGTAGCATACACTACAGACCCATAATACTGAGACACACAGAGAGAGGAAGTATTCCAGCACAAGGCTATATAAAATATGCTGAATAGATGGAAAGTATATCAGAGAAGTATAATCTATTGCACAGTATAATAATTTGTTCTACTGTAAAGTGTAATAGTAGCAGTGTGAAATGTTGGTGTATATCCTTATATCTTCATATTCCAATGGATAACTTGCTGAATGTGGAGTTTTAGGAGTTCAATTCCAGAAAATGTTTCAGTGATCTAAAACATCAATGGATTTTTGTGTCAGGTGTCACTCAGCGGCACAGCTTCCAGTCAAGTTGTTTTGAACACTTGGTCTGATCTTTTGCCCATTGATGACTTTTACACTCAATTTGGGAAACAGTTGACCAAACAGAGCTTAGTGGGAGGGATTAAGAATGGGAGCCAATCACCTAACTACATTCATGAAAAACAGCAAAAGAAAAATGGCGACAAGTGTGGATGAGATGAACGCAGCTGTTGTTGTAAGTCGATTGGCAGAAGTCACAACTCTTAGATCATAGATATTTCCATATTTCTGTGAACAATGGAAAAAGAGGTTAACTCCATGTAGTGCAAATTTTATATTTAAAATACAGAGCAATTGGGTGGTACACTTCCAATTCAATTCCAATATTTTGACAAATTCACGCAGGTCTCTATTAGATATCGGATCAGTTTTTAACAAAGTTTCTTTGTCAAATATTAAAGAGGTCATATTATGCTAATTTTCAGGTTCAAAGTCTTATTTAGGGGTTGTACCAGAATAAGTTTACATGGTTTCATTTTCAAAAAACAACATATCTTTGTCATACTGCACATTGCTGCAGCTCCTCTTTTTACCCTGTGTGTTGAATGTTTTGTTTTAGCTATGGAGTGATGCATCTCTACAAGATCTTTGTTGGGAGTTGCACATGCGCTTCGGTTAAGCTGTATATGTTCCCCTTGCCAGCAGAGTTTCAGAGTGGTAAGTTATTAATCTGTAACTAAAGATACATCTTTCATCCATAAAGTTGTAACTGAGCTCTGTCTCTACATCACAGTAACAACTTTAAGTCCATCGACTGCCTGGAGGGTAGCTAGTGTTTGGAAGGGAGAGGAGAGGCAGCAGGTGGACGTCTTGTCACTGTGTGCTGCAGCTCAGTGTGTTTTTCCACCAGTGTTTTTGAGGGCGTGTCGGACTAGTTGCTAGGTGAGCATTATGACGTGCATTTTGCTGTGACGTCACAGCAAAGCAGAAGAAAAGGCTGGACTACAAACGAGCTGTTTTCAGGCAGTTCAGTTTTCTGTGGGAGATGGGAACTCCCTTTGGGCTGGACTTTGGGTTTTTTCACTTTGCAAACCTATTACATGCACAAAAAAGGTGTCTAACTCCAAAGCCAAAAAGCATAATACCACCTCTTTAATGTTCATCATTTGACCGGTTAGATTCTCTACCAAAGTAAATTCATTCAGATTTACCAGTATGATAGACATGAGAAAAGTGTCCATTCTTTGAATATTTATATTCCTTCAGACCGTAAGGAACCATCGATCAAAAGAATCAAATCTTTTTTTCATAAAATTGTATCCAAGCTGAAATAACTGCGGTAACCTTCGGCTTTCATCTTTTCTAAGGTAGGATTTCAGTACTTTGATAGGAGGCTTTCTCTCTCTCTTTCTCTCTGGGCATGAGGTTGCACTGTCTCTGGGAGCATAATCAGATGGATGATTCCTAATTGATACGTTATTTGATAGCCTACTTTTACACAAGTAATATTCATCCTGGTTTAAATAAACAATTCCCCATCTTTGCTGAGCAAGAATTTTGTGGGAAAGGAATTGAAGGCCTGGTTGAGTTCACTGGCATTTCCAGGAAACTAGCAGGAAATTATAGGGAATAACTGACTTGTAAAAGTATAAAGTGTTACCAAAACATTCAATACTATCAAAACTATAGTTTGAATGAAGTGAACAAGCACGGAATAATACTAAAACCTACATTTGCCCATTAATAACGGACTTAATAACTAACTTTGCACTGTCACTGTATTTTGTACTTGTTATTTGTACTAGACCCTACAACTATGGATGCTTGCAATGGCCCATGGTGTGGGGTTATTTGTTATGTGTGATGTGATTTTATTCTAATTTATCTATTATGCTATGATTGGACGTCATGTCGAGCACACTGAGGCAATCAAGTATTGAATCTTGAATCTAAATACACAGACAGACGTATGGCAGTATTTTTTGCAGACAAGAAGGAAACTCCCCATTCTCAGATTTATCTAAACCTAACACAACCCGCTACAGTAGCTCGAATTTTTATCTGTGTTTGGTGGGGTTTCCGATTCATTTATCTATGGCCGAGCCTGTGTGGGTGTTTGGCTGATAGGATGTTAACTCGCCAGCTATTTGCTTCCACCTGGAAAAGCACAGAAACACATAGGCTGACGATACAATATGTACTGGGACACACACAGCGGACAATATACGGAACTATCTCACAGAAACACACACAAACGGATGATGTGGTTCAACTGTAGTTATTGTTGGTGGGCTTGTTATGTAACAGGACTGCAGTCATTAAATTAAACAGCCAGGTGGCATGGAAAGGAGCCAGGCAACTATCAAGGCAGACAGGCAAACAGTCTCCAGGAAGACTGACAGATGGAGAAAGCAGCAGAGAAAGAAGCAGGTAGGAGAAAAGAGAAACAGACCAGAAGATAAATAGAGGGCTGGAAGAGAAGCTACAGCAAACACACAACAGAACGATAGCTAATCTATTCACCCTGGGGGAAACTGACTAGTTAGTTGGTTTAAGTCTAATGGGATTTGTTGTTACAGGATAAGATTACCAGGCTTATCCTGTAAGGCTCAGAACGCTCATAATACTTCTGGATGTCACATTTTATACTTTTTTATTTTCTTTCTTTCTATATTTTTATAACACATTTGCAAGATTTTACGTCATACTTTCTCATGGAAAATCTCCTCTGACTCATTCCTTAACCCCATCCCATGCTGACACACACACACATAAAAAGCACACAGGGAATCCCCATTGGTAAAAACGGGTGTGAGGTGGCCAGTTGCCATGGCAGCAGCGACCTGTCCATTCATTCACAGATGAATGGACTGCTTTCTGATCATGTTTGCAGTAGCAAAATAATGGACAGAAACGGAGGTAAACCTTTCTGTGAAATTGCTTAAACTGATGCTGTTAAACATGTGCAGTCATGCGTGTCTGTATTTTTTATTTATCTTCACAGTCTCTTCCACTACAACGGGTTTTATCATGGTGGTTATATTTAACCGATAAAGGGATGTCCCACTCTAACACAGGACATTTCATTTCAGAGAAGTCACAGAGCCACACACACACGAAAAAAAAGCAAGATAGGATCTTCTCTGACTCATTTTTCTGTATCTCATCCCACTCCACAGGGTATTTCTCTCTCCCATCCTGCACACACACAAAGGGAATCCCTATTGGTAAAGATGGTGTCAGGTGAGCAGTTTCCATGGCAGCAGCTACCTACATACATACATTCATAGCCGCTCTGTCGCCTGAATGAACAAGCATGAATGAGAAAAAACAGGTGAATGGGGGGGAGTGGATGAATAGAAAAGCGACAGTTGACAGAGAAGTGAAGGAGCCATAC